CCCCCCCCTCCCCCAGCGACTCCAGCACCCTGTGGCCATAGCTCCGGCGACACCAGCTCCGGTGACTCACCTGCTTCGATGCTCAAAGGTATACTTGGATGCTCTTGATGGACATTTACATGAGGATGTACCTTGGTTTATGCTTTTTGTTGTTGATATCCTTCTTGTGGATACATCTAAGGTGCAAATGCCTTAGATATCTTAGGTATAGTGTTCTAGGTGTTGGTGATGTAGAGGGGAATGTTATTAGTAGAATTCAATTTGGTCGGTTGAAGTCGGGAAATGCTTCGGGTCTATTGTGTAATAGAAAAAGTATCGCTTAGACTGAAGTGAAAATTTTATAAGATGGTGATGAGATCTGTAATGCTCTACGACACAAAATGTTTGCTTTTAAAAAAGAAGCATAAAGCTAAGTGTTGCAGAGACGAGAATGCTTAGGTGGATGAGTGGCTTTACACTTGAGATAAAATACAAAATGAATATATCAGAGATAGGGTTAGTGTAGCTTCTGTGGTGAACAAAATTAGAGAGAATTGTCTTAGATGGCTCGATCATATTAAATGCCGACCATCTGATTATTCAGTTAGAGGAGTATGTGTTTTAGATTTGATTTATGTTAAGAGAGGCAGAGGTGGACCTAGAATGATTTAGGAATATTGTATAAAAAGTTATCTTAATTTTTTAGAATTAAATGAAAAATTGACACTCAATAGGACACAATGGCGAAAAACGATTCACGTAGCCACCCCACTTAGTTGGTTAAAGGCTTGTTGGTGGTGGTGGTGAGACATGCAATGCTCTATGGCACATAATGTTGGGATTTAAAAGAGAAGGACAAAATTAAGGGATGTCAAGATGAGAATGCTTAGATAGATGAGTGATTTTACACTTAGAGACAAAATGTGAAATGCATATATCCATAATATGATTGGTGTAGCTCATGTGGAGGACAAAATTAGAGAGACTCGTCTTAGATGGTTTGGTCACATTAAACATTGATCGCCTGATGGTTAGGACAGTAAATGTTTTACACTCGATTTATGTTAACAAAGGTAGAGGTAGACGACCTACAAAGACTTGGGCATATTGTATAAAAAATGATATTAAAGTCAACAAGCATATTCCATGGATTTACTAAGATTTACTTATTAACATATCAAACAATTTTCAGGATTTAAGCTCTTCAAGATTCATAAATCCAGTTTAACAGAATTTACTCAATCCTATTCAGATTAAATCCTACTCGTAACCAAAGAGCCCCTAGAGAAAGAGTTTAATTAGGGGTTGTTTGGCACAGGATTTATGTGGGATTTAAGTTAAATCCTAAGAAACGACGGATAATGCCTATGTAAATCCTACATATTCTTAAATATCATTTTTGCTCCTTTTTGCTTTAAACTTGAAATTTACGAAAAGAATAATAAGCATGATTTACAAGATTTAGAGAGGTTGAAGCTTGTGGGATAAATCCATTAAAACCATATAATAAATTCATTTAACAAATCTGGATTTACTAAAAAACAACGACAATCGCTCGAAAATTAATTTTGGATCAATTTTTTTTCGAACCGACCTCCGGTCGGATCAAAAGCAGATCATTTAATATCATATTAATGTTAGGTATGTTGAAGATCGTAAAATCCATTAATAAGTCTCCTAATATTGTGTGTAACTGTAGCTACTCCAACTCTTGCATTGGCATATTTGTTTCATATTTTGTTTCCAGCTGTAAAGACAATAAAAAACTAAGCATTTCCATCCCTGCAGTCCCTTATGTGATTAATTACACACCTATAAATATTTTCTTAAAAGAAGATATTTCATATGATGTAAAGAGTATTCACTGTATTCTTCTTTAACGAAGTCTAATTTCCATTTCCAAAATGGAAATTTACTTTGAAATTTAATTTGTCAGTTCAAAAATGGAAATTCACTTTGAAATTTATTTTTCATTGTCATAATTCCTATTTTGACAATGCAGAGGGGCCTTAAAGAACACCGATGGAGCCCTCTCACATATGGAGAACAAGAGGAGGCTGATAAGACTTTTTTTTTGCATTAAATCTTATTTTATATTAAATGTATGCAAACTATTCCATCACGCTAACAAACACTGGAGAAAGAACATGAGCCAACTACGACAGAGTTACACCCACCCACAAGCGGCAATCTAATCAATCCTGAGTAAACAGCGGATCGCAGACGACCCGGGTAATTCACAAAATTAATAAGTATAAAATTCAAATAAATATCAAATTTTATTTAGTCTTTCACTTTCATTAAACATATGTTTTGTATGAGGCTTTCCTAAGGCTCAACGAGAGCCGATCACAGCATTCGACCTATAGTTCGGACATATTTCACTATCCTTCTAAGTATGACCACTAGAGGGAGGCTATCGGCAGAAAGAAGAAAGGCAAGGAGGGCAGGGTCTACAGGTTGGTGTCCCAGCCGCCAACTTATGATGCCTGCCCAGCCTCTAGCACATCTGATGCATCCACTTTTACTTCATAGGAGGATGAGATGCATCGTCAGGTTGTTGTCTGCTCAGATAACTGCCCTGAGATCGTTGATGAGGGTAAAGATCGAAGCAGTGCTACTTTCAAAATTGCAGACAGGGAAGGAGCCGGTGTAGGATGAGAGTGGGGATGATGATGATGATGATGATGATGAGAGGACATAGATGATGAGGAGGATGAGTGGGGGGTTATTTTTTTGTTTGCTCATGTATTGAACAATTTATTATTAGCGAACATTAGTTTTATTGTGTAGTTGTATATTTCATTTGTTTTAATTCAATTATTTTTGTACATGATTTATGTGTTAATTATTTTTATTAATGTGTTTTGGTTGATTTGTTACGATTGCAAGTGCGTAAATTGTAGCGTTGAAAGATGGTTTTATATTTTTTTCTGGTGGTATATGTTTTCAACGACTTATCAATGATTTTACGTTCGTTTATTGAATAAGCGACAGTTTTTTAATAGTTTATTGAATAAACGATGTCAGGGTAAAGTGCTACACTTTTAGCACAGACAGAGCCATCGGTAAATTCTCACGGTTAACTGACAGTTTAGCTATGTTTTGTAGAGTTATATGTCATAACACGGTATATGGTAATAACACGGTATATGTCATATGTAATGTGGGTTTCAATCATGTTGCTTTGGTGTGTTTTGTAGAGCTATATATGATGCAAAATAAAATATAAAGAACTCAACTGATTACTAGCTATGATTCATATAATTGTCTTTACTCCTTTGTTGTCATTGGATATTGTACTCATCTGTTGTGAATCAAATATCAACTATGACTCATCTCATTTAATTCTATATATTACTCTAAATCATATTCTTTTCTATTTTGTATATTTGAACCCACCAATAATCCCAGTCTTATAGCCCATGTTTCTATGCCTATATGACAAACAAATGTGGTTGGTGATTGTGGATTGGGTAATCTCTGACAAAATGATCTCATTGAGCTTTACCTTGATTGTTTTAAATTCTTATTCACTTTTGTTATTAGATTGTATTTTATAAGCTTAATTTGTTATTTTTTCAACATTTTATATTCCTTATTCACCTTCATGACATTACATTCAGAAAGTTCAATTTATTATCTTAACCTTAATTACAACATCACTTAAGTTTATTGTACTTCACCAAATATGAAAACAGAAGAAATGTGGTATATCGGCAACTTTGAGAGGGGGAGGGGGGAGTTGAATTTATTTTGTTGTTATTTATGCTTAAAGAAGATTGAATTACATAACAGAACAACAACACATTTCAATAAAGAAGGCTAGTAAGACATAGCAAAAAAATTCATTAAAAAATGGGAAGGGTGTATGATAAAACTCAGTTGAAGAATAAAGTATATCAACTAAAAAAGCTAGAAAAAATGGAAGGAGCTATAGTGATGAGCGATTGGATTAGAGTGGGATCCTATTAAGAAAATAATAAATAGATCCGAGGAGTGCTGGAGAGAAAAACTATCGGTAAGTAGAAGACATTGTTATATATCTTCTTCATGTTTTCTTATAATTTGAACTATAATTTTTTCAATTGTAGGTTGTGTCGAATGCAAAAAAAAAAAAAGTGTTTTGTAGCATAGAACAAATTGAACAAATTGATTCAATGTTTCTTTGTAGTGTAGCAATACGCTCTAATGTTTAGTGCTACAACACTAGACAATCCCCAGAATTTGGATGAGGATCTATATTCTAATTCAAATAGTGCTCAAAAGGAACTACCACAAGAGGTAGAACATGGTCAATCAAATAATTCCAATTGTTGAGCGTCGCTAAGCTAGAAAGAAAATTATTTTGAAGACTTAATCGGTTGGATATAAAGAATAACGTCGATCATGATAATATTAATTGTTGTTTTTGTAATCTTTATTATTATGTTATTATGTGTTAAGTGTTGTGTTAAACTTGACGTAGCATGAGGATTGGACTCCTATCATCTTTTTGAAATATTAATTTATTTTTGTTATTCTGCTAGAATTACTATTGAAACTATAAATATACAACTAACATATACCTATAAGGGCATTACATTCTTTTTTCTAATAACAACTACAACAAAATTGATTATCCAAACAGATAGACTGGTATATAATCAGCAGCTTTCTAACAGTAACTTTCATGAAGCAGCTTCATAACTGTTTCTTCAAAAGCAACAGATATCTAAAATACACCCTAAATATTTTTCCCTTTTATGGTGTTAACTCGCTTGATTTACATGAATTAACACAATGCTTTGAGCCATACATATGTAAATATGAAAGTCTTGGGGCCCCATCTGATTGAAACTAAACCAAATCAATCAAAAGAACCAACTGCAATGCATTCACATTTCTATTCCATAAAAGTCTGTGCACAATCAAAAGTTCCTAAATCCTGTTCAGAAAGCCATCACCTTCCAGCAGAAGTCAAAGAAACAGAAATTGAATTCCTTGAATAGTCTTCTACAGTACTGTACAAAGTAGAACTTGATGAGGATTCCCCTAAATTAGACAAAGTGGATACCTTAGTTATTTCAGTGCCAGTATTTGTGCTACTACGTTTGTCTGTGTTGGTGTTTGAGAGAGCTGAAGAGGTGCTAATCCAACCTCCAGTCCTTCCCCTTATTCCCGGCATGCCGGGGTTTGGCAGGTTGAACGAGTCGCTGGAGAGCATGAGATGAACGTTGTACATGTCCGGTCGATCGGATACGATGGCCTGGCAGCACAGGAGACCGATTTGGATGCATAGAAAAGCTTCGTCGGTGCTGTAGGAGGAGAGGTTGGAGTCCATGATGTCTAATACCTTCCCATCTTTGTGGAGGTTCCATGCCTGGGATGTTGGAATAGATTCCATTGGCTTCTTTACAATGTGTTTCATGCAGATAAAAAATGATGGATGCAGATTGGAACACTTGAGCATTTACATGCATACCAACCAATTTCTTTGTATTTACATATCTATCATTTAAACTCTACTTTAAACATTTATACCACCTTCATATCATGTCAAAATGTATATAAGAATATATAAGAATATGTATATATATAGATGCATGTATGTATGCATATATATGCGTGTCAATATGTGTGTGTGTCTGTTTGTATGTATGTATGTATGTATATAGCGTTACTTACATAGCTCAAGAGGTCGGCCTTCTCTTCACCAAGCAGACGATCCAGATTCTTCCTTCCACTAACAATTTCCAACAAGAGGACTCCAAAGCTGAAGACGTCGCTCTTTGGGGACAAGTAGCCATTTAAGGCGTACTCAGGAGCCATGTAACCACTGCAGAAGCAATACTTGTAAGAATAAAATATAGGAAGACACATTTACATATATCTAACACCTAAAGTTTAATTTTTACATACATATCATCTTACCTATCCATAAAAAGGCGCATTTAACTTTTTAAAAGTTTGAATTGAGATATTTTTTATGTGATATGAAAGATTGGGCTGGCATAAATGTAAAAAAAAAAAATTAGGTGTTAGATATGTCAATAAATAAGAATTGAGTGTTATGTATGCAAATGCTCCTAAAATATAATATGGTAAAAGGCCAATCAAGTAGGTCATCCATGTACCTTACGTGCGCAGAAAAGTATCTTGGACTCTTGGATATATCCGGTAACATTTTTATCTTTTTTGTATTTATTATTATGTGGAGCCCAATTGTGCTAATCTATTGGTCATTCAAGCCCTTAGATCAGCTAATCAAACTTAAGCGGGGGGGGGGGGGTTTGGGTTTGGGGGGCAACTCAATCCAACGCCCAGAAGATAATGTCGTAGAGCACAGTCTAGGTTTCATAACTCGAGAGCACAACACTCCATGCTCAGAAGAGAGTGCTGCAACACCAACATACAGCGCCCCAGTTCAGGTTTCAGAACCCGAGAGCTCAACATTGCAGCACCGTAATGTCTACTTTGAATGCCACAACGCCACTATCACGGCACCGTAGCGTTAGTAACCGAATTCAAAAAGTTTTCACTTGAAGTTTAAACTTTGTTGCGAGAATGGTATGTGACTCAAAGTACGATTTCAATTTTTCTTTGATGTAAGAGAGGAGAGGAGTGTTTTGAAACGTTCCACAGTGTTGAGAGACTTAAGTGTGATGTAATTTGTAAAATTATCTCATTTTCTTCACAATGGATTTCTTAGTGTATATGGCTCAGAGGTTTTTTTTCCGATCTCAAGTTTTTCCACATTAAATCATGTGTTCTTTGTATTTTCTAGTTTTGTATGCTTTTGTTCTAAGTTTTGTTTTAGATCTCTGGAATCGATTTCCGTAATTTCATCACATCTCCCTCAACTGTATTTTAATTTTAGATGGACCATATTGTTTTGTCCAATCTTCGAGTCATGTTGAATCATAGAACTGTGAGATATATATTGAATCATCTCAAATATTTCTAAATATTACACTTTAACCTATCCCAAATTAGATTATTTTTACCCTTTCGACTCTTCTTTGACTATCATCACTGAACTTAATCTCATCATAATTATTTTGACTTTTCAAGTTATTTATGACTTAGCACCCTATCAGCACTACTATCATGATCATCTCCTCTCCCTCATCTCTGCTTTTAGTAAACATGGCGCTAGTGAGAAGCCTTGAAAAATTTTTGAAATAATAATACCATGCATTCAAACCACTATGAACCTTTGTAAAACCCCTCTAATCCCTTGGTTTTATCATTCTCTTCTTTTATATTTGGATAGTTAAGTGATTGAATGAAAGATTGGTCATTGTGCTTTTTCTACCTTTTTCTGTATGCTTACCAGCCAAGGAAGTACATTTTGAAAGGAAGAGATGGAGTCGCTTAAAGATGCTCCAAAAGGGAAAGAGTTCCCTATGACGACAGACTATTCATAGAAGTCAATTTCAAGTTATTCTTGCTCTCACGCTAAACTTAAATCCATCATAATTTAGATCATCCAAAGCTATCATTTCTTCTTTACATTTATAGGAAAACGATAACTTAAATTATCTTTCCATCATTATATTTTTATCATGTTTGTGCTCCAGAATAGTTGTGTTTATCATCATTCCCTTATAAGCAGTTTAAAAATAACTGAGTACAATCATCATACTCCTGCATTTGCAATCAAGTTACATTCATCCTACAGCGATTTGTATTCATCTTGCATTAGTTGTAATTATCATGAATCATATTTGGTATCGGAGCCTATTGTGTGATAGAAAAGTACCGCTTAAACTTAAAGGAATATTTTATAAGATAGTGGGGAGACTCACAATTCTTTATGGCGCAGAATATTGGTATGTAAAAGAGAAGCACAAAATAAAGTTAATTGGTTCTGAGATCAGAATGCTTAGGCGGATGAGTGATTTTACGCTTATAGACAAAATGCGAAATGAATATATCCATGAAGGGGTTGGAGTAGTTCCCAAGACAAACAAGAATAGAGAGAGTCGTCTAAGATCATTTGGTCACATTAAACGTCGACCATCTGATGACCGAGTTATGTTAGTAGATTTTTGAGATTTGACTTATGTTACGAAAGGTAGCGACAGATCTAAAAAAGACTTGGGCATGTTGTATAAAAAAATTGTCTTAATTTATTATAATTAAATGGAAATATTACACTCAATAGGACACAATGGAGAAAAGGGATTCATGTAGCCAACTTCAATTAGTGAGATAAATACTTGTTATTGTTGTTGTTGTTGGATATTTGGTATCAGAGCTAGGTTAGTTCATCAGGAACTTCCTGGTTTCGAGGATGATTGATGGGAATGTCCCTTATACTTCTACTAGGGTATTGATCCAATTAAAATCAAAACACACCACGAAATTAGATCACACTTAATAAAAAAAAACCATAACAAAAAAATGAACGGAAGAGCAACAAAATAATTCCAGAAAGAGCACACCATAATTTAATGTGGAAGAACCTGAAAACGCAAAAAAAATAGGGAGTCTTTAGTATGAAACTCAGTAAAGTACAAAGAACTCATTCAGATCTCCTCCCTACAAGTAATGGAGCTTAATTGACATTGCTCAAAATTTTTACACTCGATACCACAAGAGAAACACACGTTGAAATCCTCCTCTTCGATCCTTCTTCACTACACAGAAACCTTATCAAAGAAACGCGCTCGCAGAGATTATTCCTTCGTTGCTCGAAATCACGAATTTAATGAAACTGAACTGAATTGCCCTTGACGGGTTCGCGCCACTCCTTGGTGTGGGGATTTCGTGCGCTATGTAACCGGGCACCTAGGTACTAGAAGTAGGGCTCGAGGGTGTTGCAGACCCAAGCGTGGGAATGCCTCGTCTAGGTCTGCAAGCGCGCCCCGCCACCTATTGTTGTGTTGCTCTTCGAAGTTGTTGTGGGTGTATCATACTCCAAAAACACAACAATCTCCCACTTAAAAACTGAAAGCACCCAATACCTAGCCTCCAAATCTGCACCTCCATCTGTATCATCTTCATAATCATGTATTGTGGTGTGGCTCACCCCTGATCTCAACCTTTATGGACTCCAACTGAAACCAAACATAGCTCCAGTTTCTCGATAGTTACCGCATTCCTCAACATGTCTGCAAGATTCTGAGTTGCGTACCTGCTCCAAGGACAGTTGCTCATCTTTTAGAAGAGAGAATATAAAGTGATACCTCTGCTGACTTTGTCTTGGCATGAAAAACAACATTCTTAGTAAGATGAATTACACTCATATTATCACTATGAAACTTTTCAATCACTTGCTCCTTGTCTAATTCTGTCATAAAGCTCTGTATTCAAATCATCTCCTTCTTATCCTCGGTGATAAAAATGCATTTGGCCTCTGTAGTTGAAAATGTAATAATCTTCTGCAGCCTGGAAACCCAACTCACTGTTGTATTCCCCAAAGTGAAGATATACATTGTTGTTCTCCTACCATCCAAGTCTCCTGCCTGATCTGAATCTATGAATTCCTATAGATTGATCTTTGCACTTCCATAGCAAAGTGACATGTTGATTGTTCTCCTTAAATACCTAAAAATCCACTTCACTATCTCCCAATGGTGTCTGGCTGGATTTCCAATGTACCTGCTGACCACTCTCACTATAAATGCAATATCCGGTCTAGTATAAATCATAACATACATCAGACTTTCAATTGTTGAAGCATACGAAGTTCTCCTCATTTATATTTGCTCTGCTTCAAACTTAAGTGATAGCTCCTTAGATAGCTTGAATTAACTACCTAATAAGGTGCAAACTGGTTTTGTCTCACTCATATTGAACCTCTGCAAACAACTTCAATGTACTTGAACTTCTGTCCCAGCTGATTCTCATCTCGGGGATTTTTCTAGTTGAACCTAAATCCTTCATCTCAAACTCGTTTAATAATTGCTACTTTAAGTCTCTGATTTTCTCCATATATGCTCCTGCAATCAACATGTCATCCACATACAAAAAGCTTCATGTACCCACTATCTGACATGAACATGTCAAACCTATTGTATTATTGTCTCAGGTCCTGCTTCAAGCCATATAGGCTCTTCTCCAACCTACGGACTAAACCTTCTTTCTATCATTGTTTGGCCCTCAGTCTTAAGTAGTCTCTCACTTTGTTAGATAGATTGTTCATAAAGGTTGGCTTCAACTTATCCCCGCCCCCTCCATCGATTATCTTAAGTTCTTCATAGGTTCATCCAAACATTCCATTTCTTCTTTACTTTTATAACTTTAGACATCTAATGTGATTAACTAAAACATAAATCATCTCAAACCCATTTTATTCTTGTTATCATTTTTGTGCTCTTTAATAGTTGTGTATTATATCATTCGCTCATATGTGAATTATAGAATTGTCAATGTAATCATCATGCTTCCACATTCATAATTAGTTTGCATTCATCCTACAATAATTTACACTCATTTTACACAAATTTGCAATTGTCCAGCATTAGGGATGAGGGCCGTATGATCCTTTGATACTGGGTTGGCCCAAAGCAAGCAAAGAACCAATTTATGGCACTCTTCATTTCACCAAAAACAATTACTGCATTTTTCTTTAGGATGGTTTTTTACATATCTAACACCTAAACTTCAATTTTTACATATTTGCCACTTTACCTACGCATGAAAAGCTGTATTTCAATTCTAAAGTTAAAATAGCAGTAATTTTTATTTGATATGAAAGATTTGAGTAGTAGAAGTGTAAAAAAGAAAAGTTTAGGTGTTAGATACATAAATAAATAGGAATAGGGAGATGTGTATGTAAACTCCCCTTTTCTTTAATCAACTAAAAGAAAAACTAAAATCATTAGTTGCTAGTAGAGATAAATATGCAGAGGCTTGGAGTTCAAACTCACTAGGTACCAGATATTTTAAAAGTGTTGATATGAGTTTCATCGCCTGAAAAAAGCCTTGCCAAACCAAAGTCTGAGATTTTTGGGCTAAGTTGTTCATCAAGCAGGATATTGCTAGCCTTGATATCTCTATGTATGATCTTTACTGGTGACTCTTCATGAAGATAAAGGAGACCTTTTGCAACTCCCCAAATAATCTCAAAACGCTTTGACCAGTTCAATGAGGTCTGCTTGGTCTTATCTGAAATATCAAAGCCAACATCAGTAAATTACAAAAAAGGTAGTGTGTTATATTTAAATTTTGCTCTAGTCCATAATTTAAAAAGAGCAGTCGGATTGCATTCTTCTCCTATGAAGAAATTTAGTTAAAAATATTTGGTACTGAAATGCCTATGTGCTTTATGAAAGAAGAAGATATAGCATTGTTTTAAAGAATATTAAATCGGTTTCCATGAAGAAAATAAACCAATCCTTTGGAATTTCTTCATGCATTGCATTGTAAGAGAGCATGGGTTTCAAACAATAACTCTTATTTGCTGTTCTCTTATTATATTTTGGCAGGAGTTTCATGCAATTAAGTATTCATATCTATTATCATTTAGAGCCTTTACTGCTAAGTACCATCAACATAAAAAGTATTGTATTCTGAAAAATGCATGCAGCTCAAGTTTAACATTTTTTTAATATACAAACTGAACTTGATTTTGTTAAAGATGAAAATAAACAACTAATTACAAAAATCTTCTTTATATGATAAACTTTAAAGAGAATTTAATCATTATCATGTCCATACTAATTATGTGTGTAAAAGTATTATATGGACTGAAACAAGCACCTAAAGCCTAGTTTAATAGTTTAAGTACTTTCTCAAGTAGCTTAGATTTTACTAAGGGTAAAGTAGATATCATTTTGTTTATCGACAGAATAAACAATGCCATAGTAATAACTCAGATCCATACGGATGATATTCGATTTCGAGCCACAAAAGAGTATTTATCTAATGAGTTTACCACTATTATGAATAAGAAATTTGAAATTAATTTGATAAAAGAACTTAAAAAAAGGCATTATTATATCTAAAAAAAGTAAATTAATGATTTAATCGCTAGGTTTAACATGAAAGATTGCAAAGCCATAGGCATCCCCATGAGCTACTCAACTAAATTAAAAAAAGATGAAATGAGGGGATCCATAGAATCAAATATGTAGAGGTCTGATAGGTTTCCTATTTTATTTGGCAGCCAATAGACCAACTATTTTGTTTTGTCGTGTACCTTCGTGCTGGATTTCAAGCAGACTTTAAGGAGTCTTACCCAATAACTGTTAAGTAAATTTGGCCTCTTCCAACTTAAAGCTGTATCATAAAAATAATGGTACATGCAAGTTTGTAGATTGTTCTATTAGTGACTCTGCAGGTTGCAAAGTTGATTTGAAAAGCACTTCAATCATCTATCAATTCTTAAAACCTCATTAATGCCTTGGTCAGTGGAAAGCAGAATTATGTTGTTTTGTCCACTATAGAAGCATAGAAAGCCACTGCAGATAGTTGTGCATGACATGTAATTGTGTCACGCAGATACTTTGGCATAAATAAATATTAAAAGACCATGGACTTAATCTAGATCACATTCTTGTCAGTTGCAACAATACAAGTACAACTAATTTGATCACAATCTTAATTCAATATTTGTGAGGTGGTGATGTAGTTGAGATAAGACATCACTTCATAGAGATAAATGCAGCTTGAAGTGATGATGTAGTTGAATTCGTTAGCACAAATCATCAGCTTGAATATATTTTGACAAAAATCCCATCAGAGGATTGCTTTTGTTGACTTAAATGATGTTAAATGGTTATTTATGTGTTCTACTAAAATTTTCCTACAGATGAAATGTCCATTTGACATGTAAGTTTTATCAAAAATGAAAGAAATTCAATTTTAAGAGGCTTAACAGACACCCGTTATGGTTCATGGATACATGTTCTCCTACAAAACAATTTTATATATAAATTGTCTTTCATATAAACTAATTAATCCATGTCATCATGGACGAAAATCATTTCCAATTCACAAAAACCATTCTTCTCTTAGAACTTTGACAAATTTAAATAAAATTTGCACCCTACACCAAGATATATTTGACACATATAACTCCTAAAATTAATTTATTTAAAAAATTACAGAACCATTTATCTATAAATAATATATCCCCTATAGTACCACTATTTCTTCCCGAACCCAACCCCATCTTTTTAATTCTTGAAAACCAAGAGAAGGAACCTTCACTCTCGGTCAATCACTCAAGGTAATATATCTTCGCTTGCTATAGCTTCTCAATCTCTTGTATAAAATCATATACCCCTTTAATCATAAGTTTTCATAGCATCACGTATCCTTTACACAAATATCTCTTAGATGTTAGTGATCTAAAGAGATATCATCGCATTAATTGTAGAGAATCATACTCTACAAATTATCACAAAATGCAAGCATCCCAAAATTAATTGTTTCACCCATAAATCTTCCATGCTATATTGACCCATCCCTAGGCGGAGCCATGGTGAGAGCACTGGGGGTTGTGCCCCCACTGGCCCACTACAAATATCATTTAAATGAACTAGGTCTCTCCCTCAAACAATTTAATTATTTAATATCTCTTATGAAATGCTAAAATTTTAAAAAGCCCACAGATTTAAGTTTTCTTGGACCAAGTTGTTTTAAATGTCAACATATCTTCGCTTGATCTTCTGATTTAACTAGCAAACGTAATAAACGTCTTATATAAGTGGGACAAAATGTATAAGAAAAATCTTAACTTTTTCAGCTAGTGCATCAAATTTTAATTTCATATATTCATTTAGCTTATTCATTTACTGTAATTTAATAAAAATGATTATCACATGAATTAACTAATTTAATATATATAATAAAATGAAATTATAATTTATTTTGCAGTTATTAAAAATTCAAGTACCATTTTTTTCTTAATAATTTCTCAATTATATATGATTTTTATTTAAAAAAATACATTTCTATCTAAACATAGAAATAGGATAATATAATGAATATTAATAATGATAAAAAGTTTAATAATAATATTAAAAATAATAATTCTTTTAAAATAAATTATTATTATTATTATTATATGTCATATAAAGTATTAAAAAATAAGAAATTTTGAAGAGTTTCTTTTTAATAATTATTATTATATTTATAGGAATAATTCACTCAAAATTATTAGAAGAGACATTTTTTTCATATAAAAATGGTACATAAATATTTAAAACTATTAAATTGTGTTCCCACTATTAAATATTTCTAACTCCACCCCTGGACCCATCCATCGAAGAGGGGCATAATATTTTACCTATTTATTAAAATTATCGTCTCCAATCCATCAGAGAGTAGTATAATATTTTGCCTATATATGAATATTATGATCTCTACATTCTATTGCAATGTGCATACCCTTTTAGACCTAATTATTTCCACATCTTTAAGAATAACATGGCTGTTGATGTTATATGTCACCATAGCATGGGATTCCATGTAAATTGCCTTCAGATGAGATCAATATTGACGATGCTATTCAAATTTTTTTACCTTCCAAAGTATGACCCATGTATTTGGGCCAACAATTGATTTCATCGTCCATTCAATTAGACTGCAAACAATACCAACCTTCATCAAATACCATCACAAGATCACATCACTAACCTCAACACTCAATCTAATGAAGGATACTACATCCAACATATTTTGAAACACATTACTCAACAAAGGCATGAGTTTCTTGTAAGCTCACCCATACTCTCTCACACATAACCAACCATGTGTTCACCAAAATCATGTTTGTCATAGCAAGGATGCTTTTTCAATTATGCTTACCAAATTACAAAATCCTTCCTACAACTGATCTCAAATCTTACCTTAAGTCCCCTGATTGGAATATTTTGATTTCTGAATATCATTATCTTAATCTCAATGAATATCTTTTGTTCAACATATGAGAGCAATTAGACACACAAACTTTCATATCTATCGTTCCATGGTGAGGCAGCTCACCTCGTTGTTCTTCTACATTTGCATCCACATTTGTGTTGGGATGACTTCATGATATTTTACATGTCATTCATTAAATAGATAGGTGTCTAGCCGGATGATTAAACACTAGCCCAGAAGTGAGCAACCGCCACTAGACCTTGTTTCATATTCTAATAATAATGATGATGTGTAGCATCCTTATGTGCCTAAAACAAAATTTTGTTTTGAAAATATTTACATTAATATTTCTATCAAGCCCTCATTTTTAATGTAAAAGAAAAGGGGAGAAAATAAAGAGAATATACAATTATTGTTACACGGATGGTTATTTAGTTTCAATTATTGCTATTGCTATTGTACTTAGCTTTCTTAAGAAATTGCTATTCTTCAAGTGGAAAGTTGTTTAAACTTAAACTTAAATATAATTTCTAATTCCAAATTAATTTTTTAATAATCAAAATAGAGGATATTATTGACCCAATGGTACTGATGATAGCAAATATACTATGAAATTTGATTTAACAGTTTTTTTTAGCTTTGTATAGGTACACAGGACAAATCATTCCAATCATTATTAGTTCATATGAAGATAACTGCTTAGAATAAAAACATTTTTCTTTTCTTTATATGCAAGAAAAGTATAAATGGGGAATTGAAGAGCCTACCAACCAAAACTAACCCAAATCAAAACTAGTTTCTAAATATTAATTTCCTTAATTTGAAAAGATTGTTATATAAACTTTAGAAATTATGGCATACATTTCAAAATGTAATAAAAATCTATTTTGGCCAATAAACAAACCTACCTTGCAAAATGATTAAATAGAAAAATCATTAAAAATATAAGCATGAAATTAGATTAGGTTTATAGGGGCCTCAGTTAAGATTTATGAGTCCCTGCAAACTATTGACACTACTTCATAAAATGAGAGAGGTTGCAGCCTAAACCTATTTATTAATGGGCCTCCTTAAAAGCTTATAGGGTCTCCACAAACCCCTTTATGAGTTTTTGTAAACTTTCTCAACAAACCATTAAGGTAAATATAAAAATTGCTTTCTTGATTAAAAACAATCTATGTGGCTTAATTTAATGCCTTATTTTGTTTATTAAACTAAGAAAATAGATCATATTTTGAAATATTTACATGCATACTCTGAGTCAAAATTAAAATTGCAAACACAAGAATGTTATGAGA